TGCGGTGAGCTGAGATCGCACCACTGCACTCCAGCCTGGTGAGAGAGAGAGCCTTCATCTATAAAAAAAAAAAAAAAAAAAAAAAAAAATGACATCAGCAGCTCAAACACCAGGAAGTCCCAGCTTTTGCAACAGCTCATAAGGACTGGTGCTTCCTGTGAGCAGTGACAGCCTGCAGGATTCTAAACTCTGCTTTTCTTTGTTTTGTCCTTGAGTGGATCACGCCTTCCTAATCTACCGTGTTCTGCATTTATCTACATCCGCAGGGTTTGTGGTCTTGTTGCTAGAGGCCTAATTCTCCTTGCCTGGTTTATAAAATCCAGGTAACCGAGGATTTTTTTGGGGGGTGTGGATACTGTATGTCAAAAGGATATGCATGTTTTTGAAAGATCACAGTGTACTGGGGGCTGGAATCGGGAACTGAAGGGGGAACGGTTCCCTTGTCCCCCTCACAGGGCTTACAACAGGGAGAGTGACTCACTCCTTCAGAGTCCTGCCGCTCAAACCTCTAGGGTGCATGCAGACGGGCAGGTTGTGGGGCTCCAACCCCTTGGCAGCCTCTGAAGGTGAATGCTTACAGCTCCTGAAGCCCCGGAGGGCATGTGTTACGGGGTCCTCTTTTTTGGGGGGAGGTGAGGATGGAGTCTCACTCTGTCATCCCTGCTGGAGTACAATGGCACGATCTTGGCTCACTGCAACCTCCGCCTCCTGGGTACAAGCAATTCTCCTGCCCCAGCCTCCTGAGTAGCTGGGATTACAGGCACATGCTACCACATCTGGCTAACTTTTTGTATTTTTAGTAGAGATGGGGTTTCACCACGTTGGTCAGTCTGGTCTCGATCTGCTGACCTTGTGATCTGCCTGCCTCAGCCTCCCAAAGTGCTGGGATTACAGGCGTGAGCCAACGCACCCGGCCAGAGGGTCCTCTTTTAGTTTTGTCATCTGTAGGTGGCATGTGTAATCTGCTCTATTAGACCCTCTGTCTTACCACAAGCACAGAGGGCTTTCTGTATCCTGGGGTTCTTGCCTTGGTGTACTGGAAGAATAGGATCACATGTTGGCTAGGAGAATGAGTGCAAGGCTTTTTTATTGAGTGGTAGCTCTCAGTGGGGTGGATGGGGTGGCCAGAAAGGGGGTGGAGTGGGAAAGTGGTCCTCCACCCCGCCCCCAACCCCCGCCGGAGTCAGGCTGCCCAGTGGCCGGGCTCTCCTCCAGCTGCCTCAGCCAAACTCTGCACCATTCTGCTGATCAGTGACCTGCCGGCCTCTGCCTGTCAGCGTGCTCTTACGCCGGTGCGCTCCTCTCCAAGTCCAGCCTCTGTGTGTCTACCCGCTAGGGTCTCAGGGTTTTTATAGGCACAGGATGGGGGTGTGGCAGGCCGGGATGGTCTTGGGAAATGCCACATTTGGGCATGAAAACAGAAATGCCTGTTCTCACTCATGTCCGTGGGCAGGGGCCCAGGTGTGAAACCCTAGCCAGAGACCTACCCTTCTCTACCCAGCACATCCTTGCCCCACTCCCATATCAGAACCAAATGGTTTTCTGTCATCTTGACATGATCACAAGGGTCTATGAGGCCAAGCACAGTCAGAGGCGCCTGGGGGTGGCATCATATGCCCACAGGATGGCAGCTCTTGCCTGTGTCAGAAGCACAGAAATAAGGGACCCTGCATTCAGAAAGACCACAGTTAAGAGGAAAATATACAGGTTCACAAGCTTGGAGTGAGTGGACCCCAGAAATAAGGCGTCCAAAGACGCCATTCTGGAGAAATGCCTCAGTCCAGAGCCTCGCCCTCCAGACTTCCCACCCACACACCTGCCTGTCAGAGGAGAGCAAACGCCAGGAGAGCCACTGGCCACAAGTATATGGTATCTGATATATTTGTTTGTTTTCATATAAAATTAATTTGAAATTAAATATTCCTGGATGATGACGAGTTACCTAACAGGTACGAGGTACATTGTTTGGGGGATGGATACCCGAAAAGCCCTGAGCTCACCACTCCACATCTATGCACATAACCACATTATGCTCATTTCCCATAAATTTATAAAAATAAACAAATAAAGCTAAGAAGCAACACTTTGAAATAAATACTACTTGAGTCAAAATGAACTAGCCAAGAAAAAAATGCTCCAGGCTAGGTGCAGTGGCTCACGCCTGTAATCCCAGCACTTTGGGATGCCAAGGCGGGCAGATCATGAGGTCAGGAGTTTGAGACCAGCCTGGCTAATATGGTGAAACCCCATCTCTACTAAAAATACAAAATTTGGGCTGAGGCACCCGGACGCGGTGCATCATGCCTGTAATCCCAGCACTTTGGGAGGCCGAGGCGGGCAGATCATGAGGTCAAGGGATCGAGACCATCCTGGCCAACATGGTAAAACCTGGTCTCTACTAAACACAAAAAATTAGCTGGGCATGGTGGCACATGCCTGTAGTACCCGCTACTTGGAAGGCTGAGGCAGGAAAATCGCTTGAACCAGGGAGGTAGAGGTTGCAGTGAGCCGAGATGGCATCACTGCAGTCCAGCCTGGGTGACAGAGCAAAACTCCATCTCAAAAAGAAAAAAATGCTCCTGACACATGATCAAGTAATGCTGTAATACCAGGTTAACACATGTTAGAGCTTATTATATGCCAGGCATTATACCCTGTGCTTTACATCCATTATCTCAATTAAGCCTCATAATAGGCCTAGGGAAAAGGGTCTGCTGTTATCCCCATTTACAGATGAGCAAACTAAGGCCTGGAGAGAAATTAAGCAACTTCACTGAAGTCACTCATAAGGATGGGCACAGTGGCTCACACCTGTAATTCCAGCACCTTGGGAGGCTGAGGCAGGCACATTGCTTGAGCTCAGGGGTCCCAGACCAGCCTGGGCAACATGGTGAGACCCACCTCTACAAAAATAAAAAATCAAGTCAATCATAAGTAAATGGCTCAGCCAAGATGCAGACTGCTATGGTCTGAATGTTGGTATCCCCCAGAGTTCATATGTTAGAGCCTAATGCCCAGTATGACAGTATTAAGAGGTGGGGCATTTGGGATGTGATTCAAGTCAAGAGGTTTGCCCTCATGGATGGGATTTGTGGCATTATAAAAGAGGCTGGGGGGAGCTGTTTTGCCCTGTCCATCATGCCCCTTCCACATAGAAGTTGCTGTCTGTGGCTGGGCATGATAGCTCATGCCTATAACCCCAGTACTTTGAAAGGCCAAGGTGGGCGGATCACCTGAAGGCAGGAGTTCGAGACCAGCCTGGTCAACAGGGTGAAACCCATCTGTACTAAAAATATAAAAATTAGCTGGGCGTGGGGCACACGCCTGTATTCCCAGCTACTCAGGAGGCTGAGGCAGGAAAATTGCTTAAACTCGGGAGGTGAAGGTTGCAGTGAGCTGAGGTCACACCATTGCACTTCAGCCTGGGTGACAGAGCAAGGCTCGGTCTCAAAAAAAAAAAAGAAGCCCTCACCCCGTGCGCAGGCCCCGCCAGCGGAAGCCCCCGTGCCGGCACCATGTCAAAGAAAAAAGGATTGAGTGCAGAAGAAAAGAGAACTTGCAAGATGGAAATAGTTTTTGAAACAAAAGATGTATTTCAATTAAAAGACTTGGAGAAGATTGCTCCCAAAGAGAAAGGCGTTACTTCTATATCAGTAAAAGAAGTCCTTCAAAGCTTAGCTGATGGTGGTATGGTTGACTGTGAGAGGATCAGAGCTTCTAATTATTATTGGGCTTTTCCAAGTAAAGCTCTTCATGCAAGGAAACATAAGTTGGAGGCTCCGGAATCTCAGTTGTCTGAGGGAAGCCAAAAGCGTGCAAGCCTACAGAAATGCATTGAAAAAGCTAAAATTGGCCAATGTGAAACGGAAGAGCAAACCACGCTAGCAAAAGAACTTTCTTCACTTCGAGACCAAAGGGAACAGCTAAAGGCAGAAGTAGAAAAATACAAAGATTGTGACCCACAAGTCGTGGCAGAAATACGCCAAGCGAACAAAATAGCCCAAGAAGCTGCTAACAGATGGACTGATAACATATTTGCAATAAAATCTTGGGCCAAAAGAAAATTTGGGTTTGAAGAAAATAAAATTAATAAAACTTTTGGAATTCCAGAAGACTTTGACTACATAGACTAAAATATTCCATGGCGGTGAAGGATGTAAATTTTAAACTATTATCTAAATAAGTGTACTGAATGGTCATTTGCCTGCAACTATATGTATCCTTTTGTTAATGTTAAATAACGTGTAAAATGCAAAAAAAAAAAAAAAAAAAAAAAAAGAAGTTGGTGTCTGTGATGAATGGTCCTCATCAGGCACCAAACCTCCTGGTGCTTGATTTTGGCCTTCCCAGCCTCCAGAATCGTGATCAACAAACTTCTGTTGTTGATAAATTACCCATTCTAAGGCAACTGGCTGTATCAGTACAAATGAACTACAGACGCAGTTCCATCTGACTCCAGAACCAAAGCTCTTGCCACTCTGCACCCCTGGGGTACATTCCTGGCATCGCAGACCTGCCTCTGTTTCAGCAGTACAAGATACGAAAGGTCCAAACCCCCTGCACCTACCTTGGAGCGCCACACATGACCATCTCCAGCCTTCTCATGTGCTGAGTGCCTGGAATCCCAGTCCACGCATCCATCTCATGCCCTTCAGCTCATCTTCCAGGATGTGACTTCAGAGGAGAGTAAACTCCTCCTCCAGGAAGCCTTCTCTGACTTACCAAGTAGAGCTCACCAGGCCCTCTTGGGCACCACCTCCATGCAGGAATATTCTGTAATCTTTGTTTGGGGACACTGTCTATCTCCCCTGCTGCACCAGGCCCGGCAGGACCCGTGGCTTTGTCATTTCTGTGTCCCTAACATGCTGTACAGAACCCAGCACACAGCTGGCCCAGACTCCTCAACTTTGCCCTTAGAGTCATGACAGAGGAAGGCTGGTATTTTTGTGTAAACACTGGAAAAGTCTCAAGAAACCGCTCATCAAAAAGTAAGGAACAATGAGATTCATCCATCAGCTTTATAATCATTTCCATTTGGTAACCTGTTAGGGCTCTCTAAGAGAATTTGCATTCTCTCCCTGTTAGGGCTAAGTAGAAGTCACCACTTGGGAGGTAGACAGGGTTTCAACAGAGGTCCCCCCAAGGGCTCTCTTGAGCCCCATCTCCACTGCTCCCCACTTACCCCCAGCATCTGTCCAACATATTCTATTCAGTGGATGACCCCATAGAATCCTTGAGATCGCAGGTCCCAGGTGAGGCTTTTCATGGCCTTGCTCAGTGCTGTGACCCTGCAACATAGGAGAGCATTTAGCACAGAGTAGGCTCTCAAGAAACATTAGTTGGGCTAGGCACAATGGCTCACACCTGTAATCCCAGCACTTTGGGAGGGCACGGCAGGTGGATCACTTGAAGCCAGGAGTTTGAGACCAGCCCAGCCCACATAACAAGATCCCCATCTCTACAAAAATTTCTTTTAATTTAGCAGGGTGTAGTGGCATGGGCCTATAATCCCACTACTCAGGAGGCTGAAGTGGGAGGATCTTTCGAGCCCAGGAGTTCAAGGCTACAGTGAACTATGATTGAGCCACTGCATTCCAGCCTGGGTGACAGAGCCAGACTCATCTCAAAAAATACAAATAAAGAAATTCTGGCCAGGTGCAGTGGCTCACACCTGTAATCCCAGCACTTTGGGAGGCCGAGGTGGGCGGATCACAAGCTCAGGAGTTCAAGACCAGCCCGACCAACATGTTGAAACCCTGTCTCTACTAAAAATACGAAAACTAGCCAGGCGTGGTGGTGCATGCCTGTAATCCCAGCTACTCGGGAGGCTGAGGCAGGAGGATCACTTGATTCCAGGCAGCAGAGATTGCAGTAAGCCGAGATCGTGCCACTGCACTCCAGCCTGGGCAACAGAGCAAGACTCCGTTGTAGCAGGAGCTGCTGTGGGAAACAGATCTCACGAACGCCGAATGGAGAAGGAGGAAGTTTATTCCAGCCCCGGAGCCTGAGCGATAATTGGTCCAAAGCTCAGCTCGTCTAACAAAGGAAGGTTTCAACTTTATATAGGCTTATACTTTAGATATTACACATGGAAGAATCTTGGGTTTACAGTCTTAGAACACTCATATGAAAGGGTTCCGGTTTACAGTTTTAGGACACACATATGAAACTCTTGCTACAGTTTTAGGACTCACATGAGGACTCTTGCCACTCTGCACCCCTGGGGTACATTCCTGGCATCGCAGACCTGCCTCTGTCTCAGCAGTACAAGATACGAAAGGTCCAAACTCCCTGCACCTACCTTTGAGCTCAACACATGACCATCTCCAGCCTTCTCATGTACAGGTTTTGGGTTTGATCTTGTTTTAAACAAAAGGTGTCTTCCGGAGTTTCCCCAAGACCAAGCCTGCCACCTACAGGAAGGTGAAACAGGAGGCGCCAGGCGGTCAGCCTTTTCTTCTATTGAAATGCAGTGTGATAGTCAAAGAAGTGGATCTCAGATGCCTGGGTCTCCTTCTTCACTGTCTCAAAATAAATAAATAAATAAATAAATAAATAAATAAATTCTGACACGTGCTAAACCATGGATAAACCTTGAAGATATTATGCTGAGTGAAATAAGCCAGTCATTGCACGGGGATAAATATTGTATAATTCCACCACTAAGGTAGCCAAATTCATAGAGACAAAAACTAGAATGGTGATTGCCAGGGGATGGGGTTGGGGGGGGCAGGGAATGGGGAGTTACTGCTCAATGGGTTTAGAGTTTCAGTTTCGCAAGATGAAAAGAGTTGTCTGGATGGTTGTACAACCATGAATGTGCTGCATGCAACAGAAATGCATGATTAAAAACGGTTAAATTCGGGCCGCGCACAGTGGCTCACGCCTGTAATCCCAGCACTCTGGGAGGCCGAGGCGGGTGGATCACGAGGTCAAGAGATCGAGCGAGACCATCCTGGTCAACATGGTGAAACCCCGTCTCTACTAAAAGTACAAAAAAAATTAGCTGGGCGTGGTGGCGCGTGCCTGTAATCCCAGCTACTCAGGAGGCTGAGGCAGGAGAATTGTCTGAACCCGGGAGGCAGAGGTTGCGGTGAGCCGAGATCGCGCCATTGCACTCCAGCCTGGGTAACGTGAGTGAAACTCCGTCTCAAAAAAAAAAAAAGGTTAAATTCTATGTCATGTGCATTTTACCACGATTTTTTATGCAAAAGGCAGTTTTAAAACATTACTGCAATAGGTGTTAAACCTTATTTCATATTTCTAGGAGTTTACTCTTTCACCACTTAGGAAGTTGGGTTCATGCCGGGCGAGGTGGCTCATGCCTGTAATCCCAGCACCTTGGGAGGCCCAGGGGGGCTGATCTCCTGAGGTTGGGAGTTGGAGACCAGCCTGACCAACATGGTGAAACCTGTGTCTACTAAAAATACAAAATTAGTCAGGCGTGGATGGCAGCTACTCGGGAGGCTGAAGCAGGAGAATCACTTGAACCCAGAGGGTGGAGGTTGCGGTGAGCTGAGATCGCGCCATTGCACTCCAGCCTGGGTAACAAGAGCAAAACTCCGTCTCAAAAAAAAAAAAAGTTGGGTTTTTTCTTTTTCGCTTGTTCCCAACATCGGGATAGCAGCGCCACCGTGTGGTCACAGCTGCGGATGCCAGTCTGCAAGGACAGAGACTCCCCTGCCAGCCAACTATTTTTTACAACAGGTTGAGCAACCCTAACCCAGAAATCCAAAATCCGAAAGCCTCCAAAATCCAAAATTTTCTAAGCCACAAGTGGAAATTTTCACACCTGGCCTTCTGTGACAGGTTTCAATCAAAATGCCATTGAAACTGTTTCATGCACAAAATTATTTAAAATATTGTATAAAATCACCTTCATAGCCTGGACAACATAGCAAAACTCTGTCGCTAGAAAAAATTTAAAAATTAGCCGGGTCTGTGTGGCACGCCTGTAGTTCCAAACTACTGAGGAGGCTGAGGCAGGAAGATCACTTGTACCCAGGGGTTTGAGACGAGTGAGCTATGATCGCACCACTGCACTCCAGCCTAAGTGACAGAGCAAACCCTTGTCTCAGAAAAACATTTTTTAATTTGTTTAATGCTTTGCATTTAAGGTACATATGAAACTAAATAAATTTTGCATTTAGACTTGGGTCCCATCCCCAACATATCTCATTATGTATATGCAAATATATTCCAAAAATTTTTTTAATTCAAACTCCAAAACACTTCTGATCCCAGGCATTTTGGATAAGGGATACTTAACCTGCATTATGCTTCTCTCTAAGTAGCTGAAGTGAAACATTAAACAGTAAAAAGATTCTTTTTTTTTTTTTTTTTTTTTGAGAGTCCAGCTCTGTGGCCCAGGCTGGAGTGCAGCGGTGCAATCTCAGCTCACTGCAACCTCCGCCCCCTGGGTTCCAGTGATTCTCCTGCCTCAGCCTCCCAAGTAGCTGGGATTACAGACTTACACCACCACACCCGGCTAATTTTTGTATTTTTAGTAGAGACAGGGTTTCACCATATTGGTCAGGCTGGTCTCGAACTCATGATCCACCCACCTCAGGCTTCCAAAGTGCTGGGACTACAGGCATGAGCCACTGTGTCTGGCTGAGACCATTCTTCTATAGCTAAGAGCACTAAATTATTCAGCTCCTGAGAACCATTTGACAACTCTTACCTCTCATTATCTTTCTTTTGCCAACTTTGAACTCATTCTAGCTTGAATCACAAACACTTTCTAGTTCACATCTTAGAGTGGAAAAAGGCTTGTGAATCCTCTGAAGGTGCTGAGGCAGCTTGGCATGAGACGTTGATAGCTTCTGTTTCATCCCCAGATGTATTCAATGGAGTTCAGAAACAAGGGCAATTGCATTTTTAAGCTCCAGATTTAAAAGACTCTTTGAAAAATAGCTCTTTGAGTTTTACTTTTGACAGAAAGACTAAATGCAATCCACAGCCTCTCTGCCCTAACAGACTTGTGTGTTCCTTCTTGTTAGGCCTCCAAGTCCAGGCCTGGCCATTTTAGCCTTGGTGACGTGCACATACACCTCTGGAAAGTCCCCAGGAGCCAGAAAGTCTAAAGTAACCACAAATGACCAGGTGGCCACAGAAAGAAGTAAAACAACTTGTTCCTGCCTCAACTAATTGCTCTGCAAACCTGTACCCATTGTTCCTGTTCAGCCTTGCAAAATTTCCCCCAGACATTGGGTTTCTTAAGACTCCCACCCCGTAACTATGTAATCTACTGCACCCCCCCGACTGCAACCGATACTCCCCACCCTTATGATCATGCCTGTTTGTAATAAATGACCCCTACCTTGTGATCATGCATCCCGTGACGCCTTTCCCTTCCCC